TTTGAAAAGCAGTGCTATAAAAACATAGCCCTAGGCAAAGGCCACAGTGATAGCAATGCAATTTTTTTTTTCATTTGAAAAGAAGTTTGCTATTACTTTTTATACAGAACACAAGTGCAATAAAACTAAGACATCAAGGTGGGAATGATACTATTTATTTGCATGTCAGAGGTAAAAAGCCATTGCTCACCAGTAAACATCTTAGTCCTTTAAATCTACATTTTTTGATAATTTGGTAAATGTGAAGCTTTGAACTTTGTTGGCTTTTTGACGATAATGCCAGACCTGTGAAACTTTTAGATACTGAGTATTCGTTGCATTGCTCTGAACACCTGCCAGTGTTCAGAGCAATCTTCTCTCTCTTCTGAGTAAAATATATATTTAACCTATATTCAACTGAAGAAGCAGGCCTACAATGGGGTAATATGTCTGTGATAATGATATACTGCAACAGTAAAAGCACAGGTTTGGCACTCTGTTAAATATCCTTCACTTTGTGGCTGCACAGTCAAAATGATCTTTGAAATGAGACTTTTCTAAAAATATGCTGCACAGGATCTACAGAGAAAGAGTTTGCTAGAGAACAAAATGTCTCTGTGGGGTTTTCTCTTGTGGTAAAGATTTTGTCATTGCTTTCCTGATTGATCTTTTTATATAAATGGTTGAATATCTGTTACCCCTTCTTCTGTAGACAGTAGTTGTTAGGGGTTAGGATTAGGCTGTAACTATTTTGTCATACTGGCTGAAAACAAACCGAATTCAAAAGCAAATATAGAAGGTAATACTGGTGTGTATGCCTATCATTTTAAATGTGAAAATTAAACAGTAGCTCTCTTTCTTTCTTTCTTTTTTACCACCATTTCTGCATGGGCTACAGGAAGAGATGTTCATCCCACTCCCTTTGCGACTTCAGAGTAACCAGGCTGGCTTTGCATGTATCACCAAAACATTACCGATCCCCAGCTCCAAAAGTGAAATTGAACAGATATCTGTAAGCACACTATGGCTGAATACCACTGTTGTTTCTTTCTTTTTTTCTTTGCTAACATCATAATGTGTAAAAACTGCTTTTATTTGCTTGTTCACACCTTTGCTTTTATGTATTGATGCATATATATTACGTGTTTATAGAGGCGCTTGCATGTTTTTGTGGATTTGAATGGATTCAACAATCTGTCTGCTTCTCGCACATATGTGAGTGAGCATGTGGAGGATTTGGAGTGTTGTTAATGCATTATTAGTGTTGTTGCACATGCACATCCTTGAGCTCAGTTAAGCCTCCCCTTCTTTTGCAGTTTGATACATTATGTGATGTTTGCAGTAATTGCACTACAAGAGGTTTTGACTGCTGTCTAGCTACCTATTTAAGACAAATACCAGCTTGGTCAGTAGGGTGGAAACTAGACTGAGCTGCTTAGCAGGCCTGTGAAGGGTGAATTGGCTGTTCTGCAATAATCACCCTTCAACTAACAAAGGCCATAGTATATAGCAGCAATTTCTTCACAGGATCATTTTTAGCAATATTGAAACTGCTGGTTAAAAGTTATGTCATCACATAACAGTAAATGTGATCTTTGAAACAGCATATACTGCAACCTCCCATTTTATGAGTAATTTATCCTCTGCTCTTTCTGTTGGAATATTGCCTGCTCTGCCATTTAATGGCCATTTGTATGGTGGTCATTTGCACATACTTTAGACTCTCTTCTGCTTAGGGAGATTTAAGGAGGCTCACATGCCATTTCAGGCTACTTTTGTTGCTGAATGGTTTGTAGTTAATGATCCATTTCTTAAAAGAAGTACTATATATATATATAGACACACACACACACACACACACACACACACATACAGATATATGTATATATATATATATATATATACACACACACACACACACACACACACACACATATATTCTTTGAGGCAGACTGTAAAGCATTTCTGTCCTGCAGGATAAATGGTTGCTCCACTCTGTGCTGATGTTGGTTCAGTCATGGATCGAGCCCTTGGTCTACCTGCAGACAACACTGGATCGCTACGATAATGCTCCTGAAATGCTGGTCAACAAGACAAAATGGGTTTCTGAGAAACTGGTCAGTCTGGAGCAAGGGGTGGTTGCCCTCATTAAGAAGGTGGGTCAAATCACATATCACTCACACACAAGGTTATTTGTTTAATCCCTGAGGAATTTCTATAGGGATTAATCAATATATAGATAAATAAAGATATATATGCTGGGGTCTATGCTCTATGCAAAGATTCCCCTGAGACAATCCAGTACATAACAGCAGGGTGCAAGATTGCGTTATGCCATAGCCAAGCTGCTGGCATAATCCACATTAACATCATGCAGAGTAGTGCCTGGAAGTCCCAAAGTAAGAATGACCAAGCTAAGAAGGAATGACACCTACAATCTCTGTCCAGACGAGCGCAATCTTCAAAACAATAATTTTCTTATACCCTTTTGTTTGTCTTTTTTCTGACTATTTCTATATGCTTGCTACACAGATGTTGGATGAGGGGACATTTACCACAACCTACAATGAACAAGGCCTATTTCAGTATGATACTCTGCCAGATATGCTGGAATCTGTTATGAGAGACTATACATTACTCAGCTGCTTTAAAAAGGATGCTCATAAGATGGAGACTTTCCTCAAGCTTCTTAAGTGTCGTCAAGCTGACAAATACAACTGTGCATAAAATATAAACTGCAGCTAATAAATAATACAGTGCTTAGCTTTAAATTAATTCTTAAGGTTGGTAGTGTGCACTTCAAGATATGACCATGCCTTAGGCGAATCATCCTTGCTTGTAATGCAGTGCATTCCTTATTGATTGTTTTGGAACACCTTCACACAAAAGTAGATGTAATGCTTTGCCCTTTCGTCAACATACTGCATTTTATATTCTTTCCCTGCTTAGTTGGTATTTTAACCTTGCAAAGGAAAGAGAGAGCAAACTCCCAAAAGATTATTTGTGTGTCGAGTTCTCAAAAAAATCTGCATACCCTGCCATTGATTTCCATTTCCTTTGTTCCTGACTGGGGTTTCTATTCCTTGCTGGGTCTCGCAGTGTTGTGACTATTCTCACAGCCCCTAGAGTACTGAGTGAAACTCTCGTTTTTTTAATGGAGCTGGTTTTACTTCTGCATTAGAGAAATGAAACACTTTCACCAAAGATGGGAGTCAAACAGAGAGCAATCACTATTAAAAAAAGAGAGAGAGATTTTTGATTAGCCAAAAGAGCGGATGAGACGGAGACAAAATAAATAACAGTTGAATTGAAAGCTGGCACTCTTGAAGGAGACAGGAATTATTCTTCTTAAATTCTTAAATGTGTATAATTTAACATGGATCTAACACATATAAAAAATGTGCCTTATTCACTTCAATTGATCTGGGAATAAAACATTGAAATGTATATTCTTAGACGTTATGAATCCAGAGAATAAAGATTACCTTTCTCTTGTGAACAAAAGAACCCGATAGTGTACTGTCATAGCTTTTCTGCTGTTCATTTAAGAAACCAATAAAGCAAGACAAAAAGCATAAAAAAAACATTGTTTTTAATGTCGTCGTTTGTGTGCTATTTTTTTGAGAGAGTGCATTAGACGTGGATGTGTGGCTCATCAGTTTTTACAGTCAATTCCCTGTTATGCCTCTCTTTCTGTCTTAACCCGATGGCCACGCTTCAGCATGTAAAACTCAGTCATTCACTCATGAGGCATCAGTGTAGCGTGCTCGTTCTAGCTGGGTCCAAATGTAAAACTGCACCACAAAACTCAAAAATACATTGCACGTGCCATTTCCTCCACATAAAATGGTACTCAAGAAGGAAGATTCGTACCTCATATATTTCCATCTGTGTGCATTGAGGAAAAGTCAAGTCAGAATTTATGGAGGAAAAAAAATAGATCATACAGAGCATAAAACAAATTAATTTGGTCCCTTCTTTATTTAAAACATTTTGTTAATTGTCGGCTTAAATAGCTACTGTTGCATGTGATGCTATAGAACTGGTGAAATTTATTTCAGCCCGTTAATAACGCAGCCGGGATACCATTTTCCATCTGTGAATCTTTGTCTCGTTCCTGATCGCCACCAATTCCAGCCAAAGCTGTGTGGCCCAAAATAGACAGTGCTCATCCCTTGTAGCCTTGAAGAAGAAGCAGTGGAGAGCAGCAGAGGAGATAAACCTCTTGTTGTTGCCCTCATCCTTTCCTTTCTTTCTTGAACCAACCTTTTTTTTCCCCCTTTTTTTATTTTACCTCTACCTGTTACCTTCGCTTTTAACTTAAAATCTTGGATGATCTCTTTCTTTTTTCCATTTAGTCTTTTTGTTTTTTGTTCTGTTCTTGATTGCAGAACAGATACTAACTCACTGCCTTTTTTTTTCATTCATCGCTAAGCTTCTAGAAAAGGTTGTGGCTAAGCAGCTTATGGCAGCTCTAGATAAACATGGCACTTACGATAAGTTTCAGCCCGGTTTTCGTCAATTTCACTCCACGGAGACAGCTCTTCTTAGGGTCTCAAGTGATATCTTGATGAATAATGATGCAGGAAAATGCTCTGTTCTACTCATGTTGGACCTCACATCAGCTTCCGACACAGTTGACCATCACATCCTCATTGAAAGGCTGAAAAAATGGGTTGGTGTATCTGGAACTGCTTTAGAGTGGTTCTCCTCTCATCTCCATCACCGATCCTTTTCTGTGGCAGTCTCCGATTTTAGGTCATCCTCTACCTCCCTTACTTATGGTGTCCCTCAAGGGTCAGTTTTGGGGCCTTTATTGTTTTTAATATATCTTCTCCCCCTTCAGCATATAATGGGCTCTTTTGAGGACATTTCTTATCATTGTTATGCTGATGATATTCAGTTGTACGTTTCTTTTATGCCCGAGGATTTATCTAAGCTTCAGCGTCTGAATGATTGCTTAGATTTGATCAAACGTTGAATGGCTGCAAATTTCCTCCAACTCAACGAGGGGAAAACCGAAGTCCTCATATGCGCCCCTGATAGGTTTCTATCGCAGATAGTGAAAGCCCTTGGTCCTCTCTCACTTTATGTTAAATCCTCTATCAGGAATTTAGGTGTCACCTTTGACTCGAGTCTCACATTGGATGGGCATGTGAAATCTCTGGTTCGGTCTTCTTTTTATCATTTAAGAAATGTGGCTAGGCTAAGCCTGGTTTTATCTCACTCTGAACTCGAGATTGCTATACATGCATTTATTTCATCACACTTGGATTATTGTAATTCGCTGTTTATGTGTCTAAGCAAAGGTTCTCTGGATCGTCTGCAGGTTGTGCAAAACGCTGCAGCGAGGCTTTTGACAAAATCCTCCAAGTACTCACATGTGACACCGTTATTATCTCAGTTACACTGGCTTCCTGTTAAATTTAGAGTCGATTTTAAGATCCTGGTCTTGACCTACAGAGCTGTGCACGGACTGGCACCTGCCTACATCTTTGATCTGCTACAGCCCTATGTCCCTAGCAGGTCTTTGAGGACATCTGATCAGGGCTTACTTGCTATAAAAAATACTAAGAGGAGGACTAAGGGTGATAGAGCAAAAGCTCTATCACCCTTAGTGATAGAGCAAGGGTGATAGAGCAAAAGCTCTAGTTCCTAGACTGTGGAACTCTCTCCCCCAAGCATTAAGAACTGTGGACTCAGTAGCTGTTTTTAAAAAACAACTCAAAACTTACATTTTTAAAACTGCTTTTGGTTAATTTTTTGCCTGTTTTATTTTCTCTTTTCCATATTTAATACAAATAAATAATATTTATATTTAAGTCTATTTTTATGACTTGTGATCTTATGTGCAGCACTTTGTGATTCTGTCTTGAAAGGGGCTATATAAATAAAAATTTATTTATTTATTATTTATTCCAGAATGCTGTTATATTAATTTCCATGATTAACAACTTGTGGTGCAAACGCATTTTATGTGCAAACGGTAATTAATGTTTATTGAGCATTAAATATCCATCCGTGGCTAAAGAGAAGAGTTGAGTCAAACTACTTTCGACATATGTGACAAAATGAGCATGTACGTTTCCCCCTTTGTGCCAGTATAAACCATTTTAGCCATGAATGTGCACCGATGCTGCCGGCTGTTTGGTTTCAGTACATAACTTTCGCTGCTTGAGTTTGATTGAAAATGGACACTTTGTCTGGGTGCACAGTGTATGGAACTCAAGGCTGCCTTGAGATGGCAAGCGTCAAAGGTATGTCATCCAATCAGTAGTTTCTCCATTTGAATCCCATTTAGCTGAAATTAACAGTTGGAGCTCAACTCATTCAAATCTTAATAGCATCTTTATCAACATTTGATGAGTTCCAACTTATTTATGTGGCATTTAGAACATGTTTAGAATGTTTAGATCCCTTTTTCTGTGGGCAGTATGTGTAGCTCATTTCTGAAATCAAGTTTCTGCATCATGCCAACAGTCCAGATCTACGAAGAAATAAAATGATTAAAAAAGTATAATTTCTAAATGCCTGTTGCAAAACTTTTAAACCCTTTGAGTATAACCAAAACTATTTTCTTCAGAAAGCTTTTGGTTCATTTCAAATCTGTTGTGATGGTGTACACAAGAAAAACTGCACACTATGCCCTGTCCAAATATTTATGGGCCTGCCTGCTAGTGTATGCTATTAGTAGACACAGCCAAGTAGAGTTCAGATTACTAGCCAGAATTTATTCTGGACAGCAAGAAAAAAATATTAATAATAAATAAATAAAATTTAATCCAAACCACATTTGGAGGTCGTTTGAAATGCAATTCTAAGGCTGTTTCTTGGCCTGTATGCTTTAACCACTCAGACTTCAGTGTGTCTTTTTTTATCACTCTCAATGAGACATGCAATAGCAATGTTAAATGTAGATTTTTTTTAAAGTCCTTAGCAGAGTCTAAGATGCTTCTAGTAGTGGACTATGTAAAACAATCTGGAGAATAATAAGCAGTAGACGGAGAGATAACTTAAACTGTCTGTATACATTTTACAAAAGCCAGTTTCCAATAGACACTTGTACTAGACTGTGCCCCAGACTGCTGCTCATTATATCAATGTAATTTACACCTTTTCTGACTTGAGTAACAAAACTGTGAAATATGTCTTTTCCCCACTCAGTTCTACAAAATTCATTATGGAATAATTCATTTTTTATTATTTCGATCAAATCCAAGTTTCAAAATCTAGACTAATTTCAATAAGGAAAGCTTGTTTGGAAGAACTGAAAATGATTTCTTGACATACAGGATTTAATTAATAACCTATTTGGTAATAAGACTCCAATGAACCATCATAGCGATGGCAATGACAGCAATGACAGGGATTAGGATGTGGTTTCGGCAGTCTATGTAGATGCTGGTAGTTGTGAAGATGAAGGTTGAGGGTAAGGCAGTGATGGGGAGGAAGAGGATTGCACGAACTGTCTGAAAGGCAGCATGAAAGAAGAGCACTGAGATTTACAGCACACAAAACAGAGGCTGATTGGGTCATAGAAGGCAGGCAAGAAAATGACTGGACAGAGTAATAATGTCAGTATTGAGTTTCACAATGTGGGAAAGAGGAAATGATTCAATCTTCCGTTTCAGATACAGTGTTCACTTCAATTCAGAGAATGTTATGTAAAGAATAGACAGATGAGCGATTACAGAATTTCCTTATAGAACTATTTCAGCTTCATTTCATTTCAGTTTTAAAAAAAGATCAAAATGTACTATTCACAATATAAACTGTAGCTACATTTCCTCCAGGCAGCCCTGGTTTCGATCGAGTGGCTGTAGTCTTTACAAAAGCTGTGTGCTTGTATTTTCCAAATGAAGGTGTGGACTATTTTGCAGAATGATTGGCTGTTAGCAACATGCTGGAAAAGACTGGTGAATTGACTTATCTGG